TTTTAGACAATTAATCGCTCAGCAAAATTTGTTATTGTGACAGGCCTAATACCAAACCTGAGAAGGGAAGGAGTCTGAATACAAGCTATTGTTCATATTAAAGATCTCACATTGCAACATTATATAACATTACATATACTTTGATAAAACTGAAAATAAAAACAGTGATATTCTTCAATGTACTAACAGATTTTATAAGGCTCTCTAAAGGGTAATCAGTGATCATAAATTATTCATACAATGTATGAAGGTCAAGGTCTCAGGTTGAGTGTAGAAGGGCCGAGGACAGCAATATCCTGACGCTGTTTAGTTTTATCATTTAGCTTGATCAGATGTCTTTGTCTGGATCAAGTTTACATGTTCAGGGAAAAATGGTTTGCATACGTTGTGTCGGAGCACCGCTGAAATAAGGCGAAAAGTTCCTTTTCTCTGCGGGACGGCCTTGTATTTCCAGCTAATGGACTCTTGTCCGCCTTGAGCGTGAAAGTAACATGAAAACACCTGAGTTCAGTGTCCACTGTTCGCAGTTTAAATAGTAGTAGCTGTTCCTGACTCAGTTCTGGTAAGATATAATTTCCCCTGAGTGTCAGCTGGCCCAGCAAGAAAGCATTTCCTTTCGCTTCTCTGCTAAATGAAGAAGGCCACCAATTTAATAGACAGAACCAGGGATGGGCCGGTTTCTAGAATCGAGGTGCACCAAGGTCATCAAACATTGTGTAACGCAGTTTCTGTGGTTAAAAGCAGCGATCAGAATTCTGTGGCGAGTTTTGCTCTCCAGTTTTTCTATAGTTCTGACCTGTCGAAACCACAGATTTTAGCCACTTCAGGTATTTTTTTTCTTTAAGAACTGTTATATAAGAAGATGTAAAAACAGCACTGAAAATGTAAGCCTTCTCACTGTAAGTGGTCAATTATTTATGTTAGAAGCAGAGGCCAAGTTGCACTGTGAGTGAGAGAGAGTAGTCACTGTAAAATAGTTTTATTAAAACTATAAAACAAACACGATTATGGAGGTGGCATTTCAAACTGACTTTAGCGTCTTATATAGCTGACAAATGCAGTTAGCATTAGAAATACAGCAGGCTTCATGTGTATTTTCCAGAGAAAACTTGTTCAAAATTCCAGCATTTTCCGTGACTGACAGGTTGAAAACTCAAACAAATCACCTTTGCTGCTATTTCAGCTTTCTGATATACGCTAAAACTTTTGCTCTCTCACCTTTGAGCAGCCTAAATGTGTAGTATGCAAACATGTCTTGTCAAGGTGTAGAAAATATGATAATCTTTTAAACAGCTTCTTGCCGTTCTTCTGACCTAATTTTAAACACCTCACTACATGGAAAACAGTCAAATTTGAAAGTTCTTTCCTCAATTGCAATGTCCACACCAAAGAGTTTTGTTGTCAGTTCAACCAATAGCACTTAGATATGAGGCATTCACTGAAAAGAAAAAGATCTGATTTTTGGGTTTCTGATTATGCTGAAAAATTGAGTGATTCAGGTCACAAGTTTTTATTTAGTGCATCTCTAGTTAATAGTCCATTTAATGAAAACACCATTTAATCTGTAAATACTAGGGTAAGTGCCAGTGCACCCATAGTCTTCTTTAATGATACATAACAGAGCAACACCGCTTTAGCCTTCTCCACATCTCAGCTGGATGAGAAAATAATCCTACACATTTATCTTAGTTACAGGAAGGAAATTCAATCTAATTTTTGCATTATTTACATCATCCCTACCTCTTTATTTCTGAAAGTATTGTGTACTACGTTGCAAGAGAATGCTGTAGGCTTGAAGCATTTGCAGATTCAGTGAATAGTTTACTGACAAAATTGCAAATCCTTCAACTCAAAGTAAGGAGAATAAAAGCATCTAAAATCTATGTAATGTGGTTAAAAATACAACAGTTGGATTAAGAACTGGTAATGACATTATACCAAATTACACTAATTGTTTATCAAAAATGAAATGCACTTTCTGTTTAATTAGCAGGTTCTTAACTACGCCTACTAGTTTTCTTTAGCCATAAATGTGCATTTCTGTTTTTAGTGACTAAACAGGAGTTTTGTAGGGTTACAGGTGAGATACAGTAACTTTTTAACATATCTGACTCAGTGAACAATAGAGCCACAAAAATAAACAAAACTCTACACAATAAGCACTTAAAACCTACAATTAAAATTTGTTTTTATTTCCTATTTTTGCTTACATCTTATATTTGCCTAGAAATATAAGTAACAACAAATATAAGCAATTCAAAAATCCATTCAGGTTCCCTCCCCAAAGGTTTTTGTGTCGCCCACTAAAAGGTTGGCACCCTGGATGGTCAGCCGAAATATTCATAGCAAATATCACTGGAAACGTGAGGAGAAAAAACTGATTAATTATGTTTTATACTCACCGAAAAAACTGCATTTTGGAGTCCAAATGGTATGGGGGTGAGTCTTGCTAAGGCCACAATTTTAAGTCCGCTCCCTCCTTCCACTACTCGTATAACAGCACTGAGCTGGTCACTGTTCCCAACTTTATTCAGGACCCAGTCAGACAATAACCGCTTACACACTAGGTGTGCCACAAAGGTCCCTATTAAAACTCCCACCATAACCAGTCCCATGCCCAGCACGAATCCATAAAGGTAGCCCGCTGCCACATTCAGAACAATGTATCCCCATCCACATGGAAAGGAAACAATGATCAAACCAACGATGAAGAGCAAGGCTCCGACAAAGCTGTCCAGGCTCTCCACCCAGAGCAGGAGGTCCTTGAGGTACTGCCGCACCAACGCGACTGAAGAGAAGCACACAGCGGTCAGGATGCAGGCCAGCAGGGCGCTCTTGAAGCAGAAGGTGGTGATGCAGCACGGGTGTCTGAACTCCCCGCTGCTGGTGAAGGATGTCCCCCCCGTGTCGCTGATAATATCGGGGTCTCCATCTGTCTTCCCAGCCCCGACCCCTCTCTCGTCAAACGCGCTGCATATCAGGATGTCTATCTTATCACACTCCTCCGCGGCAGTCCTCTGCAGCCAGCGGTTCAGCTGTATCTGCGACTTGCCCAGTGCGTGCTTCACAAACTTGGTGAAGAGCTGCACGGTGGTGACCCCTGACATGTTGCGTCCCCTCAAATCACCTGTGGGGACCAGCAGCAGTGGGGCTCAGGTGACAGCTGGGATTGTACCCGGTTTGTTATTAAATCCAGCCTAAAAGGCTTTTCTGGCGAAGAGTTCAGCAGTAGTACCGCACAGCTGTGCTGCTCTCACACCAACTGCCATTACCAGGGTCGGGCTTTCGTCCGTCAGTGTTTATCTTGGGTAAACTAGCTGGGTGGTATGCCAGTCCAGTGACTTTAAAAAACAAGTTTTGCTGCGTCTGTGTCCGACACTCGCCATGTTCAGAGTCGTCATCCCTCAGTTCCGGGTAAATTCGAGTTAAAATGGGGAGAATGAACGAAGCTGGGCGAACTTTTAATACTTCACCAGCTTTCCCATCCAGCCAGCCAACACGGAGACAGGCGCAAATCACTGCGGGGCTAACTTACTGCCAGCGTTAGCTAACCAAAACGGTTAGTGGATAAAGTCCAACCTTTGCATTTCAGAGATAAAAACACAGAGTCCTCAGTATGAGCGAAAAATCGAAGCCTCCTCAAGAGACATAAAAAAAATGTTTGTCCTTTCCGCTGCCTGCTGCTCAGCCGTTTGTTTGTCCCGTCTCCTCTATACGATGGACGCTGCTGTCGCTGTTACAGCTATTCATACCGACCACTGTTTGTGTCCCAGAATGCCAAGTAACCTCAGCCCATTCTGAACCAACCACAGAACTGCAAAAGGTATCGCGATATTCCATGGAGTTTCAGCACAAGTCTAGTGTTTGTTCAGAGCGTAGACATGAATACGGTTCAGAGTAGATGGGATTAGTTTCGTAAAAGGATACGCCAGCGCGTCCGCCATATTGTGAGAGGCAAGTTTATCTTGGAGATCATTTTAAGCAGACATGGAAATTGAAGTTCTCTGAAAATCAGAAGGTCTCAGGTTTACTTAAAATTACGTGACAAAACATTATGACTTATAGCAGATTTTAATTAAAATTTTTGCTTTTAATATAATATAAAATACTTAAATGCATCTAAACCTTGTGTAATTTACCTCTAAAATATACCAATCCACCACGTTTAGTGTATGTTGCATAAATTAGAAGTTATTTTGTTCAGCAGATAATTTGTTGAATTAAAAAAAAATCAGAATTTAAGGAGTAAATGTGAAAACGTTAATTCTATTTTTGAGATGTAAAAATAAAGAAAATGACAAGAATTGTCACAATTATTATTATTAAGTTAAATCTGCTTATGGAATATGCTTTTCAATAATCTAATTACTAATCAAACTGATCAAAATTTTAGTTCAGTTATTTAATTTACTGCACAGATTGAAATAAAAAAAAGCTTGCTCTGCCAATTCATTCCAATATTATATCTATACAACAGGCAGGCTACTTAGTTAGCTTGACCCAAAACTAATGTGCATGTGATTCCCAAAAATGCCACTCACAAAATGGTGACAGGACTAATGCATAACGCTTATCTGTTAAGTAAAATACATAGAACTCCTCCATGTACCAAGGTATTTAGAAGTTGTTATGTGGCCACACCAAAGCAGTCATGACTTTCAAATTAAATGTTGTATTTTGATCTTAACAGGGCTGTTAAAAAAAAAACAACAAAAAAAAAACTCCTGCACACCTAAATGAACTGAAGAAGAAAAAAAGTTAGCGTAAGAAGAAACAATGTTTACATGAGGGACATGTAAACATCTAGAAAAATGGCTTTTAGTTGATGATTTGATGTTTAAAACTTGTGTTGACCACTGTATTTACAAAATTTGTTAGCGAGAGCACATGATATTAAGTTTGCCAGTGAGTTTTACAAGAAATGTGATTTGCCTATACCCGGCGTTTTAAAGCAGTGCGGACTATTTAGCATGGAACACAATTTGAATACATATTTCTGGGTATCCTGTTATATATAGCACAAAGTGTATGTTTGTGCAAAACATTTTTTGCTTTGCATAAATATAGAAATAGTGAAGATCTGAATCTCTTGAACCTCACAAATTGCTGATTTTTCCTGAACTATTGGTAACATTTCAATATTCTAAGTTGTTATTGTAAAATATTGTCGTTCCTGTGTTTTAGAAAGGTTTTAATCCATTTAAGTAGGCTTTTTTATGTATTTCCAGAACTCTCCACTAGATGGAAGTGTTGCTTTGTTTTCCCCCAATCAGCTGCTACTTCGCTGAAAAGCAAATGAAAATAAAAACCAATACTCAAAATACTAAATTTATTTTGTACATCTTTCCACACTTATTTTCAAAATTACTTTGGCTTTTCTTTAAGCGTTGCTAGTAACTAGAAAACAACTTTGTTGACTCAAAGTTTGCAAACCCAGGAATATGAAACGTAAATACAGTTAAAAGAAAAAGAAAAAAGATGCTACTCTGATAATATTAAAATAAAAATATTTGATCTTGAGAAAGTAAATGAGTAATACATTTACAGTCTGGCACATCCCATACTTTCACACAAAAAAGAAATTTAAACCTCAAAGTTTTAAAGTTGTAGATGTCACTTTAATATCAAAGCTAAGGTGATCTCTTTTGAGGTATTTGCTATAAACATCTTGCTGTAAATTTCTCTCTTGTCTTGTCATATTTGTGATGCTGATTGAACTGCGTGTCCCACACATCTTCTTTATGTTATTCATAAAATAAAGAAACCAGATTATTTCAACCAGTGAAATAATTTGGTTTTATTTCATGGGATTGCTAGTGAAAGTTTATGAGTATGTGTGCAGATATTTAAAGTTTGAAACAGTAAAAAAAAAAAAAGGTTCTCACTTTTCCTTCAGCTTAGAATCAAGTCTGAGAAATAAGACAGCGATATGCAGCAGGAAACATTTCAAAGTAAAAGCATCGCACATGACAAATGTGTTGATGTTTGAAGGCATATACCCAGGAGAAAATAATGTACTAACTTCCAATACAAAATCGTGGCTTAGGATGGGGTCAAAACAAGCAAACACAGACTTTCTTGTTCTAAAGCAGCATGAATTAAATATTAAACTGACACACTTTTATCAGGAAACCGTGGCTGCGTCTCTCTGACTTCACCGCAGCTTTCCTTCAGCTGTGGCAGTAATCAGTGGAAAGAGCCACAAGCAGACACATTCCTCTGCAGTTTACATCCGAAGCAGTACTGAGGAGGATGGATTGTTCAGAGGAGCTTCAGTCTGTGTCCGAGGAGCCCTGCACTCAGCTGGAGCTGAAAAAGGGAATGTCCATTTTTATTGACGTAAGTGTCCATTTCATTCAATTCGTACAAAATAAACTCACACTCGTGGGATCAGCGCTGCTTTTGATCTTTAGCTTAAGTGCGAAACTTCAAAAAGGTGCACCCCAGTTTTTTTTTTTTTTGCTTGCTGCACAAAGAAATAAGTTTTACTTACTTGTTTGGACACACTTCACAATTGTTAATGATCTTTTAATGAAGGGTTCCTGCTCAATCAAATCAACAGATTTGCCGGGGCTTACCTTTATTAAGCAATTAATGGAATGATTTCAAAAGACTTAATTCCACCTACACATCAGGGTTCATAAACAAAAAGTTGGTTTAGATTAATATTTCCTCCTGCCATGGATTTTATTGCATTCTATTTGTTTTGTATTTTCAATTTGAAAACCATTTCAAACTGAGATCGTCAGATTTCACTTTGTTTTTATTCATATTTTTAGTGATTTTAAATATTTCAACACAATATTGTCTGTAGTATTTTTATGTGTCCTTCTAAATTATTATTATGTAATTGCTATTATTTTTCTAAATAATAATACCAATACAAATGATAAAATAGCATAATTAATCACTACAGCTTCATGCTGTTCTAAATAATATTTTTAAATGTCTAATGACATTGAAAATTAATGTGCACAAAAACATATTTCTTTCTTTATAACTATAGTAATGATAAGAAGAATGAAAACAAATTTAATAATGATTAAATTAAATATGCTGATTAAGTCATGTAATAATTTAATTTTAAATCAAGCCACTCTTTCTAACTTTTAAGCAGGAAAATATTTGCCGGTTACTGTTATTGAATATGCAGAGTGCAGCCTCAAGATGAGGAATTAAATATTAAAATCACATATGTATGCAGATAAGAGTGGGAAATCATCTCTCCGGAGCTTCCCTGTCTTCGCCTCGTTCCTCCTGCCCTTCATCCATCACCTTGTTATTCAGAACTCCTTCCTCTCGTTCCTCCATGCTTTGATTCACCTGCAGCGTCTCCTACGGAAACCTGTCTGCTTCCCTTGGTCTGATCAAGGAACGTCGGATGCCGATGCAAATAGCTACAAGTTATTTTGGGTGCAAAGCAGCATGTCAGATGTGTTATGTAGTGTCAAAGAGTAAAGAGGCCGGGAAAGAAACCAGAGCCTGCTTTCGGAGGGAATCTGGCAGGCAGATCTCAAACCTCAGCCTGAGCTGATCTGTTTGGCACACAAACTCTGGAAGTTTAATCCTGGAAGACGGGTTTTTAAAGAGTTTTTACTTCTCCGCCGGTGTGTTTGTGGAGATGACCCCCATATCGGAAAAGAAAGTTTTGTTTTAGAGGAATTAAATGACTTCAATTTATGGCTTCATTTATTTAAGAAAAAAAACTAATTCTCTAAAAATATTCACACCCTTTTAACTTCTTTAAAAAACTGTTTTGGCATTACATCCCCAAGCTTCTGTGAGTCTTATTTGAATGTTACGTAGTAGACCTAATTAGTGCGTAACTATGAAATGTCCATGAATTATTTTCAAATGATAGATTGGAACAGTGTGCCATGAGATGTCCAGAGCTTGGGAATGTTTTGTGACGTAATCCTGCTTTAAATCTCTCCTCACTTTTATCCAGTCCTGTCTCCTGTGTTCATTTGTCTTCATGATGCAGTTTGTTCACTGATGTTCTCTAATAAACCTGTGAGACTTACACAGAATAAGCTGGCTTAATTCAACTTATTTTACCAATTAGCTGACTTCTTCTTAGTTGTAAAAAATTAAATATCAGGCATTTTAGAAAGCATATGATGTAGTAAAATGCAAATTATTTTCATTCTTTTGATATAAAAAAAAAAAAGTTTATCAGATATTCGTAGCAGAAACTCTTGGCAAGATATATGCTTTTTCCTTTTTATTGAAAAACAACAAAATACAGATTTATGACTGTGGAAGCATCTAATTGAGTCTTTTTAGCTGAAAAATAGGTGCAAGTGTTAAGCAACTGATCACAATGACTTTGATCGTTGCGTTTAACTTCCATACAGAACGCTGGTGGTATCTGACTGAGACACATCGGCTGGGTTTTGATGAGACAAAAGGAAATCAAAACACAACGCATGTAGAGGCAGAAGACAGATGGAATCGATCGATCAATCAATCAATATTTCAATCTGAAGTGTTTGTGTTGCAAGGAAAGATTCCTTTCAGTACCGTCTGATAGCTACAAGTTAAATTTGATGTGAATTAAAGGCGGGCGCAGCTATTTTCAGCGTGTGATTTGAGCAGTTTGAAGCTGATGTGGTCACTGCCAGCCTCTCTTTCATCTCCAGTGGACTCTGGGACAGCGCGATCAATAATTCAATGACATGCCACTTTTGCAAGTGTGATCAATGATCTCCACTCTCATGCACACCAGTGCACGCATCCACTCTAACTTTGATGAAGTACCACCTTTTTTGACATCTCACGTTTTCCCCTT